ATAATAATATTATATTTATATATATAAATTATTTAATAATACACACAATATTATATAGTGCATTACATTATAATAATATAATATTATACATAAATATAATATAATAATAATATTATATTTATATATATAAATTATTTAATAATACACACAATATTGTATAGTGCATTACATTATAATAATATAATACTATACATAAATATAATATAATAATAATAATAATATTATATTTATATATATATATAAATTATTTAATTATATATATATATATATATACATACACACACAATATTATATACTGCATTACATGAAACGATGTACAAAATATCCAAAGTTTCTACAATATTTCTATCCGGATTTTAGTTTTCAAATGACATCTTTCAAAAATATCAATTTGCCTAGAAATCCGCAGTTCAATGATATACACACGTGCGCGAATGTGGTCAATCAAATGTTACACACGATATTCCTCTAATTTCACGTAGAGCCATTTAAAATTCGATATCGATCGCACACGTTCCTCCTTCAATCGATCACGACGGCTCGTCTGTAGCCATTTCTGTCGGTCACAGTTGTTCGGTGTACTTGGCTGTTGTTTCCTTGGTAGGCAGTTCACGTAAAAGACGGTGAAAATTCATAAGACACAAGCGGCTGAATGTTATATACACACGTTCGCTAATCTCTGAACAAAGAGAGAAACTGGTTTTGGCGAAAGAGTGGCGTTTAAACGCCAACGTGGTCACGACGATGAACTTCCTCGTATTTTAATACTGATTGATGCAGACCGATAATTGATTTCAAATCGATGCGCGTAACGCGCGTTTGTGATTAGGAACTAAACTAAGTCCGAGAAACTTAAGGGTCTTCAACAGAGAAATTTCCTTGCAGAGCTTTTCCTCCTTTTTCCGATGCCTCTCGAGCAACGTATCAGAAGAATCGTATCGTCATCGGCGCGTGTTCGAGGGTTGAGTAACTCGCGTGAATCTCGAAGACGAATCGATGATGACAACGACGATGGCATTCGATGGAAGAAACATTGGAGAAAGAAACCGGTGGTGAAACGATATATATATATATATAATCAGTCGTGTTAGAAATCGATTGTCCAACGATCAACACAGCGCAAAACGATGTGGAATTGTCGCTTTGCGTTTACGATTGCTGCGGTTCGTCTCGTGATTAAAAAGAAGAACAAGTGACAAAATGAGAACAAAAAAGGAGATACAAGAAAATGTCGAGGCGTTATTAAAAAAAAAAAAAAAAAAAAAAAAAAAAAAAGAAAAAAA